TAATTAACATTCATTGATAAATATTTCTTATTGATTTCGGACATGATTCGGATGAACAATATTTATGTTTAGTTATCTTAGATGTATGCGCAACAGCTAAGATAATGGAATATTTATATTTGATGATTTAGATTCATTGATCGTTTGAAATGTGCGCGTCAAAATGATCAGTATTAGATCAAACCTAAATGTGAAAATCAACAACGAAAAATTTACAAAAAAAAAATCAATTCGATTCGAATAAAGCAGAAGACAACAAGGAAGAAATAAATTATCGAAGGAAACTCTCCTTCTATAGGAGAGATGTTTCCGAGGAAGAACCAATCGAAATTATCGGTCAATGTTCATGGCATACGATGACATCTATGATCACAATGGATGAATTTTATTTACGATTATGATGACCACTGGTCATTGACCAAAAGTTTTGACCAATCAAAGATTAACCAATTGTTTATCATCCTGCACGATCGATCGAATTAACAGAATGTTGTTTACTAAATCGAATTCTTGTTTACCAACTATGGATGAATTCGGACAGAAATGTTTATTTATGTTTATTTGGACATTTTTCGGATTTGTTTATTTCTTTGTATTGTATTTATCCATAAGCATACACATTTGTTCTCGCCTAGATCATTTCAATCGTTATCTTCAACAATTCTCGTTTCGTCTGATTCCGATCGTTATCAACAATTCCTGATTCATTCGAACATTATCATGTCTGATTCACATCGTCACCATTTATCAACACACCATCATCGATCATCATACAGCATCTCGTCATCGTGAACCATCTCATCGACCACCATCACATTCACCTTCTCCATCACCTCGGTCTACTCAGTCATTATCCGGTTCGAAACGTATATCAATGCATGTCCGCGAACATTATCCATCATTTCACATTTCTTCATCAAGTTATGAACTTCGAATTGTGAATAGAGATACGCCGGCTGAGATTATTGACGAAATGATAATCCATGTGAAGCGAGTGAAACAATATTCGATTGATACGGAATCGGAAATGACAAATAATGAATTATCGTTAATTCAGATCAATTCAATGCCAGGTGAATCGAAATCGATAGTGATGTTAATTGAATTGAAAAACTTACCAAGCCAACACTCAACGAAGTATGAAAAAGTCTGTGCCTTGGTTCGATTGATTTTTAGGTTGGACAATGAGATTTACGGATGGGGAAACATTCGTAGAGAACTCGAACTGGAATCAAAGATAATTAGTCGACCAATTCTTGCAAAGTTAATCGACATACAACCACATTTCTCAACATGGTATAATGGGACACGGACCCAGTGCTGGGTCCAGAGCCCGTCGTATCGAATCAACATTACCAAGGATGGAACTAGAACTATGCAACAACTCAATCAAGATTCTTCCTGTCGTTGTCATTCACCATCACCATACAAACCCAATGAACTATGGTCACTTCAGAACGCACTGAAGTATGCATGTAAATTACATCTCGATAAAACTTATCGATTAAGTCATTGGTCGGCAAGTTTAACGTCCAATCGTTCGAGATTATCGTATACGGATCAAAGGAAAATGGTCAAATACGCGGTACACGATGTTTTGGCCGTAACATTTTTATTACGACCAATTATGGAAAATTGGACATTCAATATGATCGAGACCAGAAACATGAAGGACGTGTTCGTGGCATTTGAATCAATTGAACTTGCCCAATTGCAAACGACAATAAAAAAGAAGAAGAANAGGCGGTTTTAGGGGAATCAGCAGAGGGTAAACGAGATTGGTGGTAGCCCGACTTTAAATCAAGTTTATTGAAACATGTATATCCCTTGCCTAGTTCTTGTAAAAGATCTTCTCCATGAGGAAGAGGACTAGCATCAGGAATAGTGATCCGATTAAGCGCACGATAGTCCACCACCAGTCGACCAGGACGATCATCTTTACGAGGCACAATGAAAGCTGGAGCCGCATAAGGAGAATTGGATTCACGAATCAGGCCAGCTTCCAGAAATTCATCAATAAGGCACCGAGTCTCTTCGCGAGTGTGTGGATTACGATGAGGCCGAAAAGTCGGAGGTGTATGGGGAACGGTATTAAAGACATCTTCAATGACAATATCAGAAATATTATGGCGCGAGTTGTCAAAAAGAGGAGTATACCAGTTTAGAAGATGTGAGAATTGATGTTTACGATGAGGATCAACTAAATGATGAACCAACGCTGCCATAGGTTGCGGTAATTCAGGTGTAGGCAACGGTGCAGAAAGATCGGCAAGCAATGGAGAAGGTAATGAGCATAATGAAGGAGATTCAGTAGAAACAGCTGTAGCTGGAAAAAGTTGCGCGTTCTTCTTTTCATTTTGACGACGGCAGAGAACCGAAAGTTGATCGATATAAGATGGAAGCTGCGTCTGATGGCTGAGTAAATAACCCAAACAGAAATGACGAGGGATCTCGTGGGGTAGAGCGAGTGGTTCAACACCCGGAGAGACGAAGAATGATGTTGAACTTGAATACTAAGCTGCGAACAGAAAAAAGATGAATGAGTAAAAAACGAAGAAGCCGGAAGAAAATACGCCGATAAACAAGAAATGGGACACAAAATCATAACATTGACACTTGATTGAGGAAGAATACAGGTAAATCGAGCAGCACGAATTGGAACGAGCGGACGACGTATCGGATCATCAATAGGAATAATAAGACGTTGATTATCAACGTTAATGGAGAGTTGCTGAGAATGGATATCGATAATGGCATGAAAGACAATCATAAAATCCATGCCAAGAATAAGATCAACGCAAAGTTTCTCGGCAGTGAGTGCATAAAAAGGAATACAGGTATTGTTAATGTTTATAGAGAGTTCAACGAGACCAGTACTACTAAGTGGTAAAACTCCATCGGCTAAAAGAAAAGAACGAGATTGGCGGTCAGCATAACGAACATTGGAAAGCTGTTGAAGTACTTGTAAATTAACACAAGTAGCAGAAGCACCAGTATCGATAAGAGTATGTAAAAGTGTATTATTAACGAATAAAGTAGCATAAAGAAGAAAGGGTTTGGATGGATGAAAAGCAGAAACATGGGAGGCAGTACCATCCGACACTGACTCCGACTTCAGAAAGGACAAGTACGAGCTGAATGACCGAGGTTAGAACAAAGTTGACAACTAATAGTAGGTGTAACAATGGAAGATGGTGGATCAGTTGATGGTGATGGTGTAGAAGTGGTATCTGGTAATGACATGAGCGGAGGCAGTACATCCGAGGATGACGAAGACGGAAACATTGGAGTTGGCGAAGGTGGAAACGTTGAAGATGGTGATGACGATGGTTGGAAGACAGAAAGATTCTGACGCGGAGTACTGAAACGACGATTGAACGAACCACGATTAGCACGCGGTTGGAAAGAACGACTTGGCGAGTTAGATGAAGATGGACTCGGAAAACGAGAGACATGTGCAAATGGAACGGGTTGTGAAAAATAAGACGAAGCATTATTAGATCGAGGTCCATATCGTGGTGAAGGAGTGAATGACGGACGTTGGTGTGGTTGAAAAGACGAATTATAATAACTAGTCGATGAAGTAGATGAAACGCCAGAAAACGAACCGTTAGACTGAACATTTTGTTCAATAGCATTCAAAACCAGGTAAGTGTGTTCTAAGTCGCGTGCCATCTGTTGAAATTCATCCGGATCCTTGGCCTTCTGTTTTAATAGATCTAAGCGATAGTTAGGAAGAACTTTAGCTAAGAGCGATTCCAATTTCATGGTAGAACTCGTATCAGGATCAGCTTCAAGAAAAAGCTTGCGCATTTCACTGCAAAAAACCACGAATATCCTGCTGCGGAGATTGATTATAGGAATGAATTTTGTGCATGGCAAGACGTGCACGATTAGGAGAATCAAATGTACTTTTAAAACGCTCAATAAATTCCGACCAAGAATGATTCATTTTAGACTTGTTATCATAGAACCA